GTGATATCACTTGAGACCTTATGTTAGAAAATAAAACACAGGCTTAGTAAGATGCAAATTCCCTGGAACTCTGCAGGTTTCCTTTTAACACCCAAGCAGACGTGGGGAGGTGACTTCCAGCATTCCTGATCACGCTGAACAGATTTCCAGGATTTTCAATCCTACATTGATGGGAAACTTTGACGTAGAATTTGTCATCTACCAATCGGAAGGTCTGTGGGCAAGCTACTGAATCCAGAGCTGCTCCCAATGCATTCATCAGAGTGTGAGTGTGTGAACGAGTGTTAGATTTCAGTGATGTGGGCATGACTGGGTGAATGAACCATCTAGTAAAAAGTGCTTTAAGTTCTCAGAAAAAAAAAAGTATAATGCTTTGAGCTTTTTAGAAAAACATTTATTGTTATTTTCACGTTAATTGTGTAGAGGCATGTACTTCATTCACAAAATAGGAACAGTAAAATTAATCAGACAAGAAAAATATATGCTGTCTTCTGTTTTCTTACATTATCAATATATATATACATACATTGTAAAATAGGACATTGTAACAAAAAAGAATCCAGAATGTAGCAAAAAGCAAGTTATGATGGCTACATCTGCACTGCACCATGAACACAGATGTAACGTGTTGTCAGTCTAAAAACAAAAAAGAAAAGAAAAGCTGATATTAGACTGAGGTTTTCAGATCCTTCTTCCATTGTCAAAGGAGTTTTTATGGCTTTATTTATAGAGTTGAAATGACACAGCTAGCTATAGTTAAAAAAAAAACAAAAACAAACAGCGACTTTTATAACACCATAAACCCCGTTATCATGGTAAAACATCTTTACAGAAGTTAGGCGCCATGCTTTTGAGCATTAATCAGGTATCATCGCTGCACGGAAGCTTCTGTCCGAGACCACAATATTACAAAAGAACACTCACTTAAGCATTACAAAACACACACACACACAGGCGCACTTTAGTCTCAAGGACAAACAGCCCAGAGAGAATACAGGCATTTTTAAAACAATAGGACAAGTCCACACTTTTAGAATCAGTGGCTGTAAATGATAAGTGGAATTAGCCGAGCTCCCTATACACGATACAAAAATGTCTTCTTATTTTTAAAGTTTAATTTCTTGAAAGTTTTGAGTGCGATTTTTAGAAAAGATCTACATATAATCAGAACATAACCTTGGCTTGGATCATGATCTTAGAAATTAATTTAACCTGCTACCTTTTTTTTGTTTGTTTTGATTCAACCACAGTGTCATTATACAATAGTGAATATTCTCCAATAACTGCTCTGCAAAAAGAGTTATTATAAATATACTTGGGCTCAAAAGGTCAAAGATGATTGGAGGATTCAAGAAGTAAACAAGAAGTTTAAAGATCAGGCTGTTTTGTTGTTGTTGTTTTTTAAAAACACTCATACCTTTACTGTCCCATCTGTGATACATTCAGCACATGTTACAATAACACCAACACGTTGTACATGATAGAAACAGCTGTAAACTTGTACACCACCAGTGTCTGGTTGGATATATTCAGCAGGAGGCTTTTCCAGCAACACTCAGGGATGTGATCAGAGGTGTGAGGAATGGCAGACATCAGGAATTTGCTGCATCTCCTTACAATGCTGCCCTTAAACAATAACATTTCTTGGAAAAGGAACTCACTCCTGAACAATTGTTATTTGGTCATGCTGGCAAATGTGAGCAACACTGTCTTCTGGGTATTAAATACACTTTCCTTACAGATTTCCGCAGACCCCGTGAGTAAATTCCCAGATGTTACACACTGACACGGCACAGGAATTAAACAAGCTCATGCTCAAGATCACAACAATGAGCCGATTCCAAAATACAGACATCCACACATGTGTACAGCAACAAGGTGAGCAGAGGCTGTAGCTCTATAAGAGGGGTTTAATTCACTTTCAAATTAAATCCAGATGAGTTATTACAGGAATTTAATGCATATTAAAGGATATTAAGAAAGCGATTTAAACTGAAAGTGAAGTGAGCCCCGAGGAAGTGATGTAGTAATATCAAAAACACACACACACACACACAAAAGAAAAGACATTTAGCTGAATGAGAGTGGACAAACAGGACTCTTGTCTCCACCTGCTGTCCAGTACTTGGTATTGCATGGACATCATGACCCACAGCAGGTCGAGCAACAAATAAATGTACAAAATATTGCGCCACGACTACTGTTGAATTCAATTTGGTTATGATGAGATTGGCCAGTGAGGTTAGGATAAAGCTAATATGCTGTAAACACTTCAGGTTCGGAGGTCAGAGCTCCTGACAGGCCAGCCCTTATTTGGCAGAGTGTTGGTGTTCTTTGTAAAGGTTGAAGCACTGAGTTGTAGAAAAACAGGCTGTGCACATTGCGGGCTAAGAATCATGGATCAGCCTCTAAAAGAACAGATAGTGAGCGAGCTTCATCTCCAAAGTTAAACCGTCCAGTCGAAGCAGCAGGTTTTGTTTTTTTTTCCTTTGACACAAGCGGGCCATAAAAAAACACAAAGCTGATTCTTTTAGTCTGTTAGTAGGAAAGAAGAAAACTTACTGCCACTTCAACTGTTACACACAATCTCTCTCTTTCTCACACGGACACACACACAATACATTATATTAAAAAAAGGAAAAAAAAAAAATCAAATGATCGACCAACATCCATAACACCTTTTTTTTAAACTTTTTTTTGTTTAAATAATAAAAAAAAAAGCAGCACTTTTTTTGTTGATGGATAATCTACAAAGTGCAAATGCGCCATCTTGTGCTCTGATGGATTAAAAAAAAAAAAGTCTACCCAAAACCTGGTTAGAGTTTTCCGTGTTGTGCACGGATTCACCGTGTGGTGGAGTCTTCTGCAAGATAGTCCAGGTTTGTTGGGAAGCATCCATCTCAAGAGGTGTAGATCATTGTTACGCATATACTCGTTAAAAAATGAGACAACATGAGACTCAAGGGTAAATCGATGCATCTCCACATCGTGTACTGCCTCTCTAAAAACCCAAAAACAAACCAAAAAAAGCTGTTCCAGGCTCTCCTCACTGCAGCTTTGTATCTCCAAGTCTTGGTGGACCTGGGAGGCTTTCAGCAGTAGCACTGATTCACTTTAATGCGGTCCTCGTCAATAAATACTTCAATTATGAGAGGTTTAAAAAAGAAGCAACAGAAATATGTATACAGTATACTGTTAGTATGTGTGTGTGTGTGTTTATGCGCATAACTGCAAACAACCTTGTCTCATGTCTTACGAAGAGAGGTGTGAGATGCGTTCATGACACTGCATGTGGAAATGCTAATGCCACGGAATACATGACTGTGATAATGGACTGCATTTCCATAGTTACTGTGAATGGATTTAAATGGGCATCTGCTGGCAGACTGCTGAGAAACTGAACTCTAGCTTTGCTTAAGGCATCGTAGTAGATGACTGAGGTGCTTCTCCTGTGGCAGGAAAGAAACA